GGTGTGCTGAGGTAAATGGTGTTTGTAAAGGTAGAGCAACCAAGTGATATTCATTTTGACGTCCTTATTTTCCGATGCAAATGTGCCATCAAACGCGATTGCAATCCCGATTCCCTATGAAAAGCGAAGCTTGAGTGCAACCATGGATTCTCCAAAGCCATCGATGAGGAGGTCATCGCTGTTTTCTACTGCATCGTCTATTTTCTCGAATTTGATACCATTCACCCGATCTCCGCAGGAGAAGCTGGACGAAATTGCCGCCTCGCCAAATCTAACATTTTCCATCAGCACACCGTCGGTTTTGGATAACTTTTTGTCGTGCGTGATATGTTTCTGCGAGGAAAAAGAACTAAAGAAGGAAAATCAATCGCTGGTGATTGTGATCCCGTGTAGACATCCCTGTCTGTGTGTTCCATGTGCCAGGAAGCTTGTGGAGGAGCAGGAGCCGTTTGTCAGGGCCACATGTCCGCTATGCAGATCAGGTAACACCTGCGTCGTGCCTAACCGGAGCTAGATATAGAGAGCATGGTTGTTGTATCATAGCTGCGCGCGCCAAGGACCCCGGCCCAAATAAGCAATTTGAGTAATTTAGTAAACAATTACCTAACCATTTAAAAAATCTGATGAAAATCACAAAATACAAAATTATCAATCCACTTTGAAAATTACAAGTGATTATCCCACCATAAAAGGGCCCTCTTCCGCCTTTGCCGTTATATTCATTTCTATCATATATGGTTAGCTATAACCAGCATCCTTCGGAAAATGGAGATGGTGCAGTCAATTCCAGCGTAATGCACGCCGACAACACGCCTAATATCCCCGGCCACCGGTCTAAGCAATTAAACATTCTGCGTCTCGTGACCATTAATCTTGTCTCCCTGATCGAATTCATCGATCCCTTTTATAGATACGAACTTGCAAGTAATCCAAAACGGATCCTTACCAAGCCATCCAAAGGCATTCACAACAATGGAGTCGACAATGCCACGTACGACTACATTTTGGCGGTCGGCGATCAGTTTGGAAACGAAGAGGGCAGGCGGTTTATCATTTTGGAGCTGCTTGGCCAAGGCACATTTGGCCAAGTTGTAAAATGCCAAAACATTTCCACTGGTGAATTAGTGGCCATAAAGATCATCAAAAATCAAACTGCGTACTTCAACCAATCAATGATGGAGGTTACAATTTTGGAAATGCTCAACTCATCAAAGTATAACCATCAAGAACTCACGCACATCACAAAAATGAAGGACACGTTTGTTTTCAAAAAGCACCTGTGCATCGTGTTTGAGCTGCTTTCGCTGAACATTTTTGAGCTTTTAAAGCAAAATCACTTCAAGGGATTCTCCCACCAGCTGATAAGGATATTCTTGCAGCAGATTTTATCTGCCCTGTGTCTACTGAACGAGGCTAAAATTGTACATTGCGACTTGAAGCCAGAAAACATTCTTTTACAAACTATGGATTCAGCCTTCATCAAAGTAATTGATTTTGGAAGTGCATGCCACGAGCAACATACAGTTTATACATATATCCAAAGCCGATTCTACAGAAGCCCTGAAGTGATACTAGGACTTCCTTATTCCTCCTCCATCGACATATGGTCGTTGGGCTGCATTGCGGCCGAACTGTTTCTTGGCATTCCGATATTTCCGGGCTCCTCAAATTATGACCAAATTTTAAGAATTGTTGAGTGTATCGGAATGCCCCCAACATACATGCTAGATGTGGGTAGAAATTCTTCATTGTATTTTGAAAAGCCGCCAAGCACTGGCGTTTACAAACTCAAAACCAGGGAGCAATATGAAAAGGACATTTGCAACGGCCATTCAAACCAGCCCCAGTTACCGGAAGAAAAATTGTCTAAAAGATACTTTTCTGCGGTAAAACTAGAAGAAATCATACTAACATATCCAATGAAGTCTGGAAATGGCCTCACGCCCCAAGAAATAGAAAAGGAGATGGAATCCCGCAGATCGCTTTATGACTTGATCTCCAATCTTTTAAACATCAATCCCATTGAAAGGTGGAGCCCCCAACAAGCGCGTCTGCACCCATATATAGTAGGCGAGCCGTGGAAAGGCCCGTTTATTCCCCCGGGCCCGGGGTGTCTTTCCTCATATTCAAATGCCCAGCAAGCCACGATAATACAATACCCTGAACAAAGCCATCAAACGTATCATCGACCTAGGTCATCGACAATTAACTCGCAAATGTATAATATCCCTCCAAACTTAGAACGAATCACAAGGGTTGTCTCTAAAGATAGCTTCTCAAGCTCAAGATCGATTCCCGGATCTTCGATGTATCAACTATATAGAAATTCCACGCATCAGAGCCAAAGCTCGACTTGCAAACATCCACAGAACATGCAAGCAAGTGGCGCAACATCGCCGCCATCCTTTGATGAAATAGATAGAGGCCAAACGGGGAGCAATGCTAGAAATGGTCATTTTAATGACTATAACCCGAACTATCAGCAGGCATATCAGCAGCAACCATACCCGGGATTTCGGCAGCCTCCTTACTCGGCAAACCAATGCCAGCACAACCCTTATGCCTATCAAAATAAGCTCCTTTTTAACAACAGGCTTCGGGAAGCTTCATCATCGCCAGGCTCTTTTAAAAAGAATACCCCTGCGTTTGATATGGACGAATTGCACGGGTATGGACCAACCACGTCTATGTCCTTTTCAGCTCATAGACGGTCAAGTAATCCGTCTGGACCCGTTGGTATAGGCGAAAATGCAAACCGATCTGGCTACACCAAAAGGACTGTGGGCGGGGGCAACATACTTGGAGCCGGATCGAGGAGATCTTTTCCAAATAGCCATGCTTTCCAACACCACGCTCCGGCCCAACCGCCGTCACAATCACAATAATAAAAAAGTTAATTTATTAGTGCATTTTACATTTGTACATCTGCCTGATGCGGCCTTCTCGGTTTCTCCCGAGTTTAAGGCGCTCTTTTTGTCGAAGGGCGTTTCAGCTGGCTTTATTGCATTCATTTTCCCTGATTCCAAAGCCAGCACCATTGGCTGTAAACAACTACGTGGTCTCGCCAGCAAGACCGGTGCCCTCTCTTTTTTGTATCACTTCCAACAGCCATTTTGAAGATGGCGGCACCTCATTAAGCCCGCTTTTGAAGGACTTGTATCCAGATATTGATCAGATTTACAGGAAAGAGGTTAACGATCTGGAAGAGTTTAAATTAATTAGGGATCAAGTTAAGTCTTTTTTTTTCCATGCGCATCCTTCATGCGAACATTTAAAAGAGCGCATTGTCACGCTTGTCGACGGCACGCTGCATTCTTGCTTTGTCAAGCAGAACTCAATTTTGGCGGTCGATATCTTTTTGTTTATCACCAAAGTGTCTGAATACATGAAAAGCAGATCCATGGATGATAGCTTTATTCCGTGGTCCGCCGTTTACTCTTACTCTTTGATGTCCATTCTCGAGACACTTTCCAAAGTGAACCTAGAAATACTTTGTGGAATCTCTCCACATTGCAGGCTGTTGGAAATCCGATATCCCAATCCGATATTGTCCCAACAGAGTGAGGATCGGCTTTTGACCAGTTTTACAAATTCATGTGTCAACGTGTTGAAATATGCCCACAATAGCAGTGTCCACACGAAGCCATCGTCGTTTGCGTTCACCTCTTTGTCAAACGATGAAATCTCAATCCCATGTGGTCTTGTGATCCAGATTATGTTTTATATTCGAAGCACGGCTTTTCACGATAAGATCGCACTCAATTTGACCTTTTACGAGCGGCTTGTGGACAGCTTTTTGGGAAAGGGAATTTCCCCAGCCACTGCAGAGTCCCTTCTAACTAGTATTGAGATGGAATCTTGCTCCGCGGCAAAGCTATGCATTCAAAGGAAAATATTCCATTACCTTGCGTCGCTGAGGAGCACAAGGATATTGCACCGCTTGAAGGAAACGGGCGGCCATGCAAAAGAAATCTATCATGACATTCCCACAATGAATATCATAATTTTGAACCTATTTATTCGATCTCTATCTCCCTCAAACTACGGCAAAAGATATTCATCAACCAGCAAAGAGGAAGATGAGCTTTTAAATAGAAAGCGCAGGGGAGACTTTTCGCTAGCAATGAAGTTTTATTCCCAAATAATAAGCAATTCTCATCCTTGCATTCTCAAATTTTGTGTGCAAAAAGACTTTCCGCTGAGGGATGGCAAAAGGACAAGCCCTTTCAGCACCCATACCCTTTGTGATTATGACCATTTGCAGCTTCTTCAGCATTCCACAGGCTGTGCTTTACTCGCCCAAGGCCGTACTATGGAGTCCTTCAAGATATTTGAAAGCCTTTGGGAGCCTTTCACTTTAAAGAGTGTCAAGCATTTGTCCCTGCTTCGCGCTGGATTTATTGAAGATCTTTTTAACACTTGTTTTGAATTTTCCGTACATTTGGAAAGCATCTTTTTGCCTTTGATGAGGATGCTTGGATTTTCGGTAGAAAAAATCGATTTAAATAGCCATACTACTGGCTTGTGGGGCGATCTTTTCAGCACGCGTCCGTCTGCAATTCGACCTTTGTTTTACATTCTTGCCTGCGCCTCTTCAAACGACTCTGCTCTTTTCTGTGCGCGGCTATTGACTTCTTGGAAACAATGGATCTATCGTTTGCATGACGAGTATCTTGGGTGTGGTACCACAATTTTGCTTCCCTGGTCACATGACAATTCAAAACCCAACGGAGTTGTCTTTGTTGAAGTATCGAAATCGACATATCCTGAACTGACTCGGAGAGATTTCCTTTGGACCCCCTTTTTACTGGATTTACTATTTCCCGTCATTTACCACTCAATAAGGAGCGATCGAATGATGCTGTATTCGCCATATTATGGCGGGATAAGTGGTAAAAACGGCCTTCCTTTTTCATTTACCCCCTTTTCCGATATATATTTCGGCTCTTTATGCTCTGCAAGCAGAGGAAGAAATTTTGCGGTTTCTCCTTTTGTGCTTAAATTTGTATCGCTTTTTCTTTCAAAAGAACTGATTTGTTCATCACGCCCTGTTTTTTGGAACACCGCCTTTACAGATCCATGTACGCCACCATTTAATTTTTGCGAATTGTTTCGTTTTGCGTCCAATTTTGGCGGCGACACCTATTTTACAGCCCTTCAAGTCCATCTAAATGCCTTTGATGAAACGCATCTTTCTTCTTTGGTGGCATTGTGCTCCAAGCTGTCTTTTGAAGTTTTTGCCAAGGCTGTATGTTTTTACACATGTAGCCTTGAAAAAGGCCAATTCGACGCCGTAAAATCAAGGCTAATTTTCCTCCTAGCTGGGACAAAGTATGCGATTTTTTCTGGCGATATTTCGGCTTTAACGGAAAAATCGCCATCCCATGCGATTACCCCACGAACTTCATATGCACTTGTTGTCTATTATTTTAAGACCATCGCGCTTGCCAGGAAAACGGACACAAAATTTGGTGAACTTCATAGGACCCCGTTGCTTAGTAGATCGTCCGTTTTATTATGCATGAAGGCTTTGGCTTTGTCCAACCACTGGTATGATTTTTTTACTTTGGTGAAAAACTTTATCGCTTTGATTCCGTTCGGAATGAAGGGAATCTTATGGACTCTAAAGGATAGCTTCCAGTATGTCTCCACGCCCGATTCGGATTTGCTTTTCCCCAAAGTTAAAGTTGGGCTCCAAGGGCTTCCCGAGTTTGCCATGCATGTTCCAATCATCGGAGACACTGAAAAGGCATCGGTCGCTGTCGATGCACTGATTGATGTGCTGCATTGTTCGAATTTGTTTATTTTAAACAAATTCGAGCTACATCAGCAGCTTTGTTTGCTTTTCGAGACCAAGCTTAACGTTCAAACCGTATTTTGCCTCCGCCACGGTGCTGATTGGGACCGTATTTGTTGTTTACTGGTTGAGCACTTGGAGATTCCCACGTTTTCAGTTTGCTCTCACGCACAAGGATTATCCTCGGAAAAAATCTCCAAAAAACTTGTTGTCAAAGAGGTGATCATCGAACCTCTAAAGGCCATTGTGGGCACTACCGATTTTATGAAGTGTCTATCAAAAGCTATTAACCACGAATTCGAGTGCATACATCGGTGATCCTCCTTTTATGGCTGTTTATGTAGGTACTAATGGATGGCGACCACCCAAATGCGAGGTTTCCCGGCTTGGGAAAGACAAAATCCAATTTTTATGCTTCACCACATATTGACAAGACGTTGAAATTATGATAACAAGGGTGGCTCTAAATATTGGAGCCCAAATCTTAGTGTCATTGTTAAGATGGATTCCATTAAGCAAAAGCTCGCACACAAAAACAATGGAAGCTATTGATAGCAGCACCAGTATCTGAAAAGTATGAATCTAGCTTCAATACCTTGATCATACGAGGGGGTGCCTTTCTCAGGCCATTGGGTGTCGGTATCAGCCGCCCATACACCAAATCCATTGCATCCTGGTGTGATTAGAATTCAACGGTACCTGACGGGGGCCATCCTTAAAGTTATTCAAGTAATATCGGTGGACTGATCTCTTCAGGTCAGAAAACCTCCCCAATATTGTCCGCTTGCCATATCTTTTACAAATCAACAGGCTATACATTACCGTGTAATCTCGGTTTTCAGTGCACCTGTTCCTGAATAATGCACACTTAGGCCATCTGCGTTATCTGCCCATACTACAAGCTTGAGAGAACAAAATACTACAATTCGAAAGTTTGCTATTAAATTGGGGGTTGGAAAAGTCAGCCCCCAAGATGTTCTTCAATTGCTTTGTCTGTATATATGTGCCAAACAAGCACTGCGCAACGTTTGTCCTATCCAGACAGTCAATACAATTGGTTCGAATAATGCCAGATTGCAAACTGATTATACGATTATCAGCAAGACAGAGTTGAAAAGCTCCTGAAGAGTCAACAAAGTCTTCAACGGAAGCCAACAGGTTTTGAAGGCTGTTGAGGTCCTTTGAGCTTTCTTTGTGCAGGTCAAAATGTAGATAAGAAAACTTGGCATTCTGCATCGGAAAAAGCGATTGTTCAAACAATGAAGCATATATAGATGCCGGGACATTTTCAACACCGTGAGAGTGAACCAAGTTAACGGACTGGACATTGCCGTATTGGTTGGATATTTCTGTAAAATGCTTGACAAAGGCCGCTCTCTAAGCCATCATAACATTTGAAAACTACCGAATATTCGAGCGGAGCTACATCTATTGTGGGCGAATACTTCCCGCTAGGGACTTGACTCCAAAAAATCGGCATCGAGCCTCTGATCTGAAGAAATGAAACCAAGTTGTTGCTGGTTAATAGGATTTGCTCTGTTTCACAGAAATTGGACACAAAACCATCTTTGTCGATCCCCCTTGAATGGTATCGAGGACCTTAGTTGATGCATACCAAATGGTACCTGATCGATTCCAATTCCTCCGGGAGATTAGAATTATACTGTATGATTGGCCATAGAAATGCCCTCGATAACATCCAATGTCTAAAGCACAGTAAGTTTGCAGATGCCCTACATCCTTCAATTGCAATGACGACGAACGGCTTTAATTGGTCCTAAAATTAAGTGGAAAAAGTACCATGCTAAGTTTGTTGCCAAGTAAAAGACGCTGTAAGAGATAAAAATTGCTACAAAATTGCGTCTTTATCTAACTGCTTAAACAGAAATATTTACATGACTGCCTAAAGGGCCAGGCGGCTCATCCGTGGCATATGTAGATTGGGACGAATTGGTCAAATCGTATGACTTGCAAAAGTACACTTTGTTTTTTAGAAAGAAACACTTGACAAGATAAATGTATTCTTTTTCCTGGAAGCTCTGAAAATACACTATAAAATGACGTACTTGCATCAAAGACGCATCGCATTTCAATGGCTTGGCGTAACAGGGCAACACATCAACATCCAAGACTTCAAAAATATGCCTGTCATAAGGCAGGGAACAAACAAAGGACACATTGCTAATAACTACAAGATATGGCCCTAAGAAACATGGGTAAATTGGATGTGTCTACCAAGCTCCAAATCGATCATTCCAAGGATTCCGAAAAATTGCTTGTCAAAAGATTCTGGGATTGATCGTTGAAAAGAGTTCGACAGGCTGATCTCTCCGGTAATCCTGCTTATCGAAAGATATGTGGCCGCATTTTCGCAGTTAATGTGATATTGAAAATCACATATTTCTCTAGCCAACATTAGGCGGAAGTACATACAATTGGAGCTTGTGCGGTGAATGCATTAAAAAAAATCCGCAATTTCAATTTTGTTACAAGGCGTTTAAATTTTTATAGCCTTTGCAAAAATTTACCAAAGCTTTCAGAAACATCGGAATTTGGGCGAGTCTGATTGCAATATTATTGAATCAAATATTGCCAGCCGCTTGGAAGGATCAATCTGGCCAATACTTGGCATATGGTTATTATTGTTATCGCGTTGAAAAAAGGCCAAAAAATCGATCTGAGGTCAAGTAAATCGTTCCAAAGGATATGCATATGAAACTATTGAAACTTCCCGAGTGCGAAACCTATGGCTTGATGAGACTTACTTGGCAGGTTGGGGGTTGGGATTTATTCTCTCACTCAAATTCGCAGATGCCAGTTTATTAAGCCTTAAAGCTTCCGAAGGTTTGGAGAAAAACTTGAGCTTTGCCCCTGCCTTTTTTGCTACTGCTTTGGGAGGAGAGGGTTTGGCTTGCTACATTGGCTTCCTTCTCTCTTTTCCTATATTTTCGTGGTTTTTTTGCAGCTTTCGTGGATTAGAGTTGCTTATGCTCCCTTTCTATTTCTCCCTTCAACTTTAAGACTTGCGTCTCCGTCTGCAGATCCGTCTTTTCTCGAATCCGCTTCAAAGGCCTCATCCCTCTTTCGAGAAAAATTCGCTAAACGGAGAACAAGAGGGGTTTGAGGGCTCTATAACAAATAAAAGTCTTTGAGCTTCCATTGGGGTACAAAAGCTACTGAAGAGCCTCTCGGAGCTTCAGACCTTTTACACCCAAATGAAAGGCTACTTGCTCAACCATGTGAATGATCCAACAAATTTGCCCCCAAATCGCGGCATCTAGAGAATACCTGACACGTAAGTAAAATGCGGACACAAACGGAGATTTATTCTCAACGTGACGTGAAAAATACCCGATAAATCGGTGTACATGCTGGATATTATCGTGATTAAGGCAGACAAATATTGTGATTGAGAGAAATTCTGGCCTTATTGCTATTTTCATGAATGGATGAAACAAAAAAATCAATCGAACTTGAGACGAGCTCGCCATTAGAGATCAAATTTAGCTGAAATCTTCAACTAAACATCAGTTCCCATCTGCCATGAAATCCGTCTGTTTTCTTCTCAATCAC